ATTAATTAAATATGACTAGAATCATTGGGCGATTGAAGACTCTGAAGCATTCCTTCTTATTAGAGTATTAATTGTCAAGACAATTACGGCATGTTAAATTGGTTCGATTGAATAATACTAATAAGGTTCCAAAAAGAAAAAGAAATGTCCCTCACCAATCAAATCCTGAAACGTTGCAAATCAAAAAGACAATTCGAAATGCTTTTTTTCAAGCACGTTCCCCCATGATTTTATATATCACATTTAATTTAATTTAAACCCGATTTAGAAAAGCATTTGTCTACTGATCTTGACATATATCCAACAAATTGAATTTCCATTTTGCATTTGTAGTTTTGTACCATCTTAAATTCTTCCACAGAATACATCCCACTAAAGATTTGATTTTTCAATCAAAGATTTATCAATTTAGAAAAGCATTTGTCTACTGATCTTGACATATATCCAACAAATTGAATTTCCATTTTGCATTTTTAGTTTCGTACCATCTTAAATTCTTCCACAGAATACATCCCACTAAAGATTTGATTTTTCAATCAAAGATTTATCAATAAATGTAATTTGAACCTCATCTAGTATATTAAGATATACATACATAGCTTCAGAGAAAAAAAATGGTATTTACCTATAGGCTATAGTTTCCCTTATTGCTTCTTGTTGGAACCACGAAGTCGGCCTCTACCCAGTCTGCCTAGATGTGGCTGCGACTGCGGCTGCGAAGGAGTTGCGACAGATGGTGGAGTTGCCATAGACTTGAAGAAAGTCCTAGTAGTCGACGGAGGTGGAGAGACGAGCCGATATATGCTCAGTAGGTTCTTGTCCCGGATACAGAGGTGGCGTCGCCCTGACATCAAGGTTCTGTCAACTGAGCTCTTCCATCCACGTCTGCTCTTTTATGCCTGTTACGGTAATGAAAATGAGAAAAGTTGAAGAAACACCACAATGTCTCTCTCTTTTTACATTTTGAGGTTCGAGATTTGTAGGCGTATTAATTACATTTTAAATTATTTAATGTGGTAATTACATAAAATCAGAATTTTTAAAATTCAATTTCAAAGATCGGATATAAAATATATTTATATAAAAATCAGATATTATTTCAAATATTTAATATTATT